TTGATTCTTACATCTTGTGATTTGGTAGAACTTCACATCCCCGTTGGAGACGTAATGCTCAAATCTCTGGACATCAAAGGATGCTCAAAGTTGAAGACACTTGACCTTGGGGGAACTCCAAATCTCCAGAGTTCACACATTGAAGAATGTTCCAGTTTGGTAAAACTTCTTGCTCCCATTGGAGGTCTAAAAAAGCTCACCAACTTAAAAGCAAAAGGTTTTTTGAGGTTTACAAATTTACATATTAAGAGATATTATGGATTATTATTACCTATTTTATATCTACATGGAATGTCGATAGATAAATGCCCATTGCACCCTGATGATAATTTCCCCAAGTTTCAGTTTGATTGTACATATGAGGAAGATCTACCCTCATCGATTGGAAATGTTGAGAAGCTTATTTCGGTAAGTTCCTCTTGTGCTTGCACAGACCTTGAGAGTTTTTTCGGAAGCATTTGTGGTTTACAGCACTTAGGATACCTTACACTGAAGGGCGATATTCCAGAGGTGCCCAAAGACCTTGACAACTTACAATGTCTAGTGCAGCTCAGTTTGTGGTCTCCAAGTATTAAACATCTTCCTGATAGCATTTTATCGTTGAAACATCTGAAATTTCTCAATCTTTTTGATTGTAAGCTTCTTGAGAAGTTACCGGAGGAGCTTGGCCGATTAGAATGTTTAGAGGAACTGTATTTGAGTTCTAAAAAGATTAAACATCTTCCGTATAGCATTTGTATGTTGAAACATCTGAAATTTCTATCACTTTATGACTGTGAGCTTCTAGAGAAGTTACCGGAGGATCTTGGTCGATTAGAATGTTTAGAGAGGCTAATACTAAAACGGTGTCTAGTTTTACGAGATATTCCGAACAGCATATGTAGGTTGAAAAGTCTAAAGTATCTCAGTCTCCACGATTCTATTAGAGTTGAGAAATTGCCAGAGGAACTTGGACGTTTAGAATGTTTAGAAAAGTTGGATATACGAGGTACAAGCATAAATAATCTTCCCCCGAGCATTTCACCGTTAGGAGGTCTGGAAATTATTCGATCAGAAGACGGAACAACCACAACTACAACTACGGTAGGAGGTCTGAAAATTGTTCGATCAGAAATCGGAACAACCACAACTACAACTATGGTAGGAGGTCTGGAAATTGTTCGATCAGAAGACGGAACAACCACAACTACAACTACGGGAGGCTACTGTACTGTACTGTAACATATTTTCTCTTGTTGGCACGAATGGATCTTACTGCACTTCATCAATAACAGGATGTAGAGATGAAGAGGGGGCTGAAAATGAGGTGCTTACTTATGCTTGACATGAATCAAGTGGGGATATGAATCTGTTGCATGACTATTTCTTTAAACATGCTTCATTTTGTTTCTTCAGGGATGTCRTSTTTATGAAGCTATCATACAAGAATGGACTCAGCAGGTGCAGGATATGGTAATATGAAGAAGTTTGCTGTGGTTGAGTACTATTCAAAGGTGGTGTTTTTACATAACTCATGATTTCATATAAATTGAACCTTAAATGCATATCTTTCGAGCAYTAATTGAGGTCTAGAAAAAAACCACAGGTATGAAGATGGATTTATGAGACATAGTTGTTACGGATATTTCATTGAAGTTAATTTCCATCCATGCATGAGGACTCGAATAAATGGCGTGGTTTCATCTTTAAACACCCTACACCGTTGATTCTTCATGCGCTTCTGAAATGTAATTAAACATAATGTCAATTAGGATCTCTATGATTACGTATTATTATTCTATTTCTTGAAACGAATATCATGTTGTTCCAGATTTGGAATTATCATCATGAAGAAGCAGCCCAGAAACAGCAGCCACGTCTGGCGGTTTTCTGGGATCGATTGGAAAAACTGTCGAGAGGAAGACGGGGACGAGAACCAGAGGATAGAAATCGGAGGGCAGAACTAGAAACAGAGAGAGAGAGCAGAAAATCGATCGATTGAGAGGGAGCAGAACGGGAAACTGTCGAGAAGGAGGGAGCAAAACAGGAAGCCGACCGAGAGAGGGATTGATCAGAAATCGACCAGCAGAGAGAGTAAGCAGAAACTGTTTATTGAGAAGAAGCAGAGACTGTCGAACGAGAGGAACGAGAACCAGAAATCGGGAAGAAACAGTAAGCAGATATCCAGATTTTGGGAGCTCTCGGTCGATTTTCAGAGGAAGATCCAAGGTCCGATTTTCAGATTCTGGGAGGCCATTTTGGAGACAATTTGCAGGTTCTTCCTACAAACTTTTGTAAGTACCTTTGGTTTTCAAATTTCAGATATGAGCAACTAAACTTCATATTCTGGTAATGAGTATGTGATTTACTTTGAATTTGGATTAGTAAAGACTTATGGTGATTTTAATATTATTTGAAACCATTTATGCGATTTTAGAGTTACAAGTTTATTATTTTGAGTTGGAAATTTTGAGTACGATCCCTTTATATGTCTAATTCAGTTTCGAGTCTCTAGATGAACTTTTAAGTCCGTAACTGCTTTTCGGTTTATCTAAGTAGCACACGATACACAATTGATATTTATTTTAAATGTTGACGCTTGACGTTAATGTAATTGGCAATTAAACTCTTAGTTTATGACTAGATTTGATTTGCTAATTAGAGAGAATATTGACGTGTGTCAATGTCCTAATCAACCTTCTTTTGAGAAAACTGGTTGAATGGGTCGATGATACATATTCCAAAGGATTAGTGATTGATGCTCATTGCTAGTCTCTTCCATTTTATTGTTTAAAATTCTTAAGTTGTTTTTGCGTCTTTGGACTTATCAATTGTCCACCTCCCCCCCCCCCCCCCCCCCCCTTACATATATAGGGTTGGGTTCACGTGAGACCAGTCTGTTTTTGTGAAACCACCTTTTTACACTTGAAACTTCACAACAAAAACACTGTGAAGGTAAAAAAATCCGAACCTTCACAGCAAAAACACTGTGAAGGTAAAAAAAATCCGAACCTTCACAACAAAAACACTTTGAAGGTTACCTTCACATCATTTTACTGTGAAGTTTCAAGTGTAAAAAAGTGGTATCACGGGTTTCACGATAACAGGTTGGTCTCACATGATCCCAAGTCTCTCTCTCTCTCTCTCTCTCTCTATATATATATATATATATATATATTATTTTTAAATGAATTTGCACATGACCCACTGAGTGAATACACAGAAAGAGTTCAAACGTTCATCTTTTTAATAGGTTTTTCTAGGTTCTATACACAAGTGAATACACCGGAGAAATTCAAGCATTCATTGTGAATATGGTGTCTGATTCAGTGGCGGGCCTAGGAATTATTCTGGACAGGTGCACCTTTAAAGGTCAACAAAGTAACATTTTGACCAAAAGAAAAGTCAATTGTGTCGATTTGGGGAATATAATACATTTTTTCAAATGGAATTGACCTTGATCTTTAAAATAAATTTATATTGCTTTTAAAAACGAGATATAAAATGACTTTTAAATAAATCCTAAAGAAAAGTTACAAAATCAAAATGGGAGAAAAATAAACAAGAAACTGTTACGGTACAATGGTAGTTATGTCTCTAATTGTGCTTGGGACTGTGTTTGAACCTGGTAGTTGTATCTTCACCCATGTTTGATATTTGTTATGAATTTTGGTTCCAAAGTATTTGAGAACACCCTCTAAAATCAAGTGGATGCACCTTTAGATGACGATTTTTTCCTCTTACAATAATCGAGTGAGCGGATGCATGGGAGCCCACTTAGCTCTTAATAGGTCTGCTCGTGATCTCATTCACATGTTCATGCAAACCAAAAACTGAAAGACATTGAATATGGGGCCTCATTCACATGTTTTTGCAACCTAAAATTGTAAGTGCGGGATCATTCACATGTTCATGCTTCATTTTGTTTGTTCAGGGTATTGTCATCTTTAAGAAGCGATCATTCATGAATGGACTCAGCAAGTGCGGGATATGTTAATATGAAGAAGTTTGCTGTGGCTGAATAATATTCAAAGGTATTTTCTTACATTACTCATGATTTCATATAAATTGAACCTTAAATGCATATCTTTTGAGCACTAATTGAGGTCTAAGAAGAAACCATAGGTTCACCATGTCTTAAAATTGCCAACATTTTGTTTGATTTGGGTCTATAAAATTCATCGAATGTTGCATCTTGTTGCTCACTGTCTTCTATTTAGTTATTTTCTAATGTTATTTACAATTGTCAGGCGAATCTTCCATGGCGAGATGGAGAATACTCATTGTCTAACACAGTGGAGTTTTGTTGCATCCCAAACCTCTAATTTTTCCTGGGGATCATCTACGATAGATATCAAAACGCCTTAAGCCTGCACAACGCACGGACTGCTAACAACCGAGCCACAGAATCCTTGAGGCAAATGCAGGATGTTTCATTAATCTTACATAGACTTTGGTTCTCATTAATCAACTACAACTCTTCAATTTTTGTCATTAATTAATAAATGGACCTTGGTTCTTTCAGCTTGTAACAGAAATGTTGATATGATTCTGTTTGTACCATGTATTCTTTATCTAAGCATCATACTCTTCTCTATTAGGAATTATATTAGTTTTCTATTATCAGCTTATAATAAAGTTTTACATCTCGCTAAAATTGTGTCGGTACACAACTAGTATAAAAGAATGCAAGTAACTACAGCTGTCCTATGTTCATCGTGTGTTGGTCTTTGGACTTTCTACATGTCTATTCACACTGTCGTGGTCTTCATGGAAACAACGGCTCTATTGGTTGTTGTAGAGGTTAGGTCTGCGTACATCTCACCCTCCCTAKACCCTCTTTTGAGTGGGATTTATTGGGTTTGGTTTGAAAAGATGGGTTCCGTTGATAGCATCCACAACATTGAATGGTTCATCGAACAGGTTAATTATCAGCATCTTSGTATAGAGCTAGTGCATGCAATTTGTATTCTCTGTTTCTGGCCTCTGCTCAAATCGATTCGTCTCTCACCTCTCGAGTCTCGCCTATAACTGTTTGGTCACCAAACGAGAACAATCGAATGTAAAATACATTTTTCAAGTTGTGAGTTTTAAACTTTGGTTGTATGCTTCTTCAGAAGTTACCTTGGTCGATTAGAATGTTTAAAGGAACTATATTTGCATCACATATAACATGTCATTAATTATTATTTAGGATGAATTACATATATAAATCATCATGCGTTTGTTAAAACTCTACCGCTTATCATTATTGTTCTAACTTCCCAACCTTTTTCCTATCTAATTAACATGCTTTTACCACATTCTCAACTTGTTTTTATAGGGGACTTGTCTTTGTAAGACGTTCACTACAACGAAATCGGGTCTGTAGGACGCTCCCAACTTCTAAGCGTCCTAATAGATCTCTTTATAGGACTTAGTTAATAAAACCAAAAAATAAAGTGTCATATCCAAATATGTTGTAATAAGTTTATATATGACGTTTTTTGACGTCTTAATAAGTTTTTTTATGACACTTTTAATATAAAGCGTTCCATTAACAATTTTATAGAACACTATTTGAAAAACCGTCTGATAAAATAAGTTTCTTATAAAAACTTGAGTTTATAGGACATTTTCTCAAAAATGTCATATAAAGTTGCTAATGCAACGCCTTGTATTAAAAATATTCTAAAAAATCTGTTAAGACACGTAAAAACGTCACATAAACTTATTACAACGTCTTTAGATAGAACGCTTTATATTTTGGTTCTATAATTAAGTCCTATAAAGTATTTTATCGGGACGCTTAGAAATTAGGGGCGTCCTATCAACCTAATTTTGTTTTAGTGGTTTGTTCAAATAATATTATATAAAATAACTAATATGACGTTTTATTTTAAAGATGTTCTACAAAATTTATTAAAACACCTAAAAGTATCCAATAAACTGAACCATCATAAACATGTAATAATGAAGTTTATGGTCTTTTTCTTTCTAGGAAATAATCACGTCATTAATTTATAACCCCACCCCATTTGAATAATAAGAGACGCGTGAGGAATTTGAAGTCTTTTCTCCTTTTTAATCATGATTTTTTGTGCAATTTTAATAAGCAAAATATATATATATATATATAGACTTGGGATCATGTGAGACCAGCTTGTTTTCGTGAGACCCGTGAGACCAACATTTTACACTTGAAACTTCACAGCAAAATGCTGTGAAGGTGACTTTTTAAAACCTTCACAGTGTTTTTGCTGTGAATGTTCGACTTTTTTTAAACCTTCACAGTGTTTTT